TTTTATTTTTTTCTCTCTTCTCCCTCTTCTCTTTCCTCTTCTTTATCAGGTAAGTAGGTTGGCTGTTTTTCTTTTTTCCTTTGATCCACTTTCTATCCCTATCTTATTTATAACCCTTCTCAAGAGCTACAATTGAGCAAAAGATTCATGCCGATAGCTTTACTGGTTTCCAAAATATGGACCTTTGAAATATTTGAAAATCAAATTTCCATGCATACCCCTTTGAAAAAATTTGAATTTTTAAATTTTTGGATTTTGCAATTTTTGACTTTACCAATCGAAAAAGGAGGTGAAAATTAGTGGAAAAGCATTTACGCAACTTTATTTTTTGGGTTTTAGGGTTTGTAAAAAAATAAAAACCGTTTTTCCACATTTTGGGCCCAGAAAATTTCAATAATCTGACATTGTCTCATAAAATCGCTCATTACTCCGTTATAACTTCATATATTATGATGTTTAATTATATATTTTGAATTAGAATTAAATTATCTTTAAGATATAATAAGATTCAATTCTCTATTTTATATACTTCTGCAGATATTAAGGCTCAAAGTCAAAACTTTGTTTAAAATTTCACAAAAGATTCAAAGCTGATTTTCTCGAAAACGAAGCCCTTGGATTCGGAGTCTCAAATGACCTTTTTTATAGCGCTTCTGAAGAGCTACAATTAAGCAAACGATTTATGCCGATAGCTCCACTGGTTTCCAAAATATGGCCCTTTTAAATATTCGAAAATCAATTTCCCATGCATACCAAACGAAAGAGGAGGTGAAAATTAGTGGAAAAGCATTAACGCAACTTTGTTTTTTGGGTTTTAGAGCTTGTAATAGTTATTTATGTATCAAGGGTACTAAGTAGATGATTATGCCCTGAGGGCGATAGTCTTACTAAGCCGAGGGCCTCTGGCCCGAGGGTTCGTAAGTCGCCCGAGGGTATATATATATATATATCTATTAGTACCCGTGGTGCATACAAACTTTTATGTCATACCAGTTGGTTGTGAATAATAAAATACCTGGGAAAAAAAGTGTCACTTCGCAAATTGTCCTCAGTGTGCAAACATCATAATTTTTTGACAAAAATAATATGTTTATCCGCGTACATTTATATTTTGTTAATAAAGAATAAGATAATTGAAAACTGTTTTTTGCGTCTTTATGCCCGCGCGGGCCATAATGTGTACTTTATGCCCGCACGGGCATAAAGTAATGAATTATGTAGATGGTATCTAAGGTATAAAAACACAATAATGTATTGGTATGACATAAAAAAATAAAAATGATTTTTGCAATTTTTGAGCTCAGAAAATTTCAATAATCTGACATTGTCTCACAACATCGCTCATTACTCGGTTATCATTGCAACAAATATGATGTAAAATTATATATTCTGAATCAGAATTAAATTAGCTTTAAGATAGAATAAGATTCAATTCTCTATCTTAAATACTTCTGGAGATATGGAGGCTCAAATTCAAAAATTTGTCTTAAATTTCACAAAAGATTCAAAGCTGATGTTCTCGAAAATGAAGCCCTTGGGTTCGGAGTCTCAAATAACCTCTTATTATTGAGATAAAATTCAGTGAAAATTTCAGCTTTTTATCTATAATAGAAAAAAAGTTATGACCTTCCAAAGTTTTCCAAAATCTAAATCATAAGATGTGCTATATGGGTTTGCAACTGGGTTGCTTATGACCGTGTTTGGGTTGTGCTTCAAGGTAGCTTTTGATAATTATTGTAAAAGGAAATCAGAATTTCCAAATTTATGGCCACAGACACAATGTCACAGTGCACAGAAAAGTTCAAAATTTTCGTTTGCAAATCACAACGATCAATGGAACGCATGCTAAGCATCTGATGCTAAACAAGAAATGGCTGAAAATTGGTTATCGTAACCGTAACATGATAGGTCTGTTCCAATACAGCAGGAAACCGTACAATTTATCGTCATGATTCTGCGCAAACTGTAAAATTTGCGCGTAGAAACCGAAATTCGTTCACTGAATGGTTTCGAAATCGTTCATGGGACGATTTTTGACGTGTTGGAACAGACCTAATGTCAGATCTCAACTTGTCTGGAAATATACTTGTGGCCAAATAAATATGTATTTTAGAGTCCAATAATTTTACTCACCAACTGCAAATGTATTCGAAAACAATGAAAATACCCGGGTATAACAAATGTATTTAAGTAAAAACGCATGAACGCGGGTATTTTGAAAATTACTCAGTACAATAAAAAGTACCGGGTACCTATTTTCTATATTGTTACGCAGTTCAAGTACGAGTACAAGTACGCGATTCAGAAAGTATCTTGGCTTGAGTACCGAGTAACTAAAAATCAAAGGTGGGCACAGTTAATCGAAAAGTTAACTTCGCTAATCGTTAATTCGCTACTTGAAAAGTTAACTTCGATAATCGTTAATCGTTAAATTTTTGAGAATATAACGCAAGTTAAAGTTATCCGTTAAGAGTTAAATCATCGGAAAGTTATACTGATGTTTGAAGCTAATTATAAGTAATAGATAATTAAAATAGAATAGGCTGGGCTAGGGTATCGGTTATAGTATTTTTATTACCTATTTGGTAGTGCCAGTCGTTTTAGTGATTTGTTGGTAATTGATGATGAACAAGGATTGTGTGATTCCAAATGGGTATTAAAAATACTATACCTACACTCTTAGGCCGGCTTCTCATGAGCGTAAACTTGATATAACTGGCGCAAATGCTGAATACGTGAATTTTGGCGCAACATTCACATGGAGTGGAGAATTTACGCCGCCGCGTATGTCAAAATTATATTTTTTTCCTAAATTTTGAAATATTTCTTTGAATTTTGATTGTACAAATTTGTATTTGTTTTTGCTTTAGTTCCAAATAGTTACAAATATGGACAGTAAATCTTAAAAATCAAGAAAACGAAACGGTTGCAACCTTAACCTCTAAAAACGCTGAATTTTTAGGCGAAAAGTTGAATTTTGCTCAACTTTTGGCGTATCTGCGGCAGAGTGTCAGCGTATCCCAGAGATGCGTATCCAATATGGCGGGATTTTGACCAATCAGAATTTTGCATTCAGGTACGCTGTCACGCCATAAATGTCAAATTACGCTCATGAGAAGCCGCTCTTACACAGGTGAATGTGAATAAAACAAAAAGTATCTAGATCTAAAAAGCACTTTTTCCAATTTTGGTAGCTGATTTATTTACCATTCACCTCTGCAAGAAAAACGAGCTTATAGAACAATGCAGAGTAGACAACGCCACAGCCCAACGATACGCCTCAGCTCAAAGCCTACCTAACAACAGATCAACTAAGGGCTTGCGCATCGATCTCGCACTGTACGGAATCGGGTTTGGAGTCATTCCAGAACAGTTCCAAACTGCGTAGTGTAGCGAACTGAAATTTTTCTACGCCTGTGCGAACTGTCCCGATTGACCTTGACGCGCAATTCAAGCAAACAAAATGACGTCATTTACGAACATAACGGACTAAAGTTAACGGAAGTCCAATGTAACGGAAGTTAAGAAAACCGTTAATATTTTTTTATGTTAACTTAAAAGTTAAATTTAAGCAATTTTTTTAACTTCGTTAATTAACGGATAACGGATTAACGGTTTTCTGCCCAGCTTTGCTAAAAATATACTTAGAATACAAATGAAGAGTACTCGTACCGAACCCTCAAAACCACCCCCTTATATACGTCCTTGGAAAATCGCAAAAAAAACTCACTCAACTCAAAAGCCAATGATAGATATAAGGATCCTCAAGGCTCAAAAATAACATTGAAATCAGATTAAAATTAATTTTGAGTATGGCAAGGGACATCAAACAAAAAAAAATGCAAAGTAAAGGTAATAGAAGATTCCTGACGTATTTGCTTGGGTAATGTATAGAAAATCCAAGCGAAGGTGAGTGATAACAAAGTCTAAATTAGTGATGGTTGAAGGAAATGATGAAATTTTGTAACTTGGTTGTTTTTGTTGGAAAACTCCAGGCACTTATTGATTCGAGGCATTTAATCCAAGAGAATCTTTTTCAACCTAATGAACAACCAGTTAAAAAGGCTATTAGGTACCTATTCTAAAGTCTTCAAAAATTGACTAATGTGTTTAAAACAAACTCACTGAATTTGAGTTCCAGAGCAGAGCAGGGTTCACACTCATATCAGAATGAAAATAAAACACTTTTTCACACCTTCAATCTTAAAAAATCCTGAAAGGATTCCGATTGAATTTTCCTCTTCTGTTCAATTCCCATCAGTTTTTACTTGTCTAAATCTAATAAGTTATGAAGATGATTGTATAAGATCCTTATCAAAATTCAAGGCAAACTAATCCTGAAACAGAAAATACCTCTCAGTCCAATAGTAATTTTTATATCTATAATTAATTTTAAACCTATGTATATAATTATTGTTGAATATTTATTCTCAATTTCACTATTAAATATTAAAACCACCTAAAAGTATAAAACCATCATTCCAGTGATTATTAACTATTAACAATAGCTACTTATGTAGAAACGTTAGTGGGTTATACAAATTTATTTAGTAGCGTTTAACTACTTCTAAATATTCGGTTCTGGTTTCAGGCTTGTATAAAAAGACACGTATGTATTTAGGTGGATATTTCTGGAAAAGACAGCAATAAAAATACAGAAATGCTTTATAGTGTTGGCTTTAACCGACAGAATACAAAAAAGGAAAAATGCGATAAAGTGTCTGCACTTTACTCAATACCTGAAGGGAATAAGAAGTCATAAGTATGTGGTTTGAAATAATGCTATCAGCTGCAAAAAGACTTGATTCTTTACCACAAACTTAAGTGTATATTATATGATACATAGTAAAAAAACCAATCAATTATTTACACATTACATTTATCTATCTTTTACGATTCAAATATTCTAATCTACGCCCAAATTTTCTCTTCAAGAAACCATATCAAGTACCGCGAAATCGCTATGAATCATACATATACAAAACATACGGGCGATTTATCTAATCTCACATTACGTATTCAGTTTTGACTGGTACACACAACACGCTCCACACAAAACAGCTCTTTAACAGTGGTTTTTTAAGTGATAAAAATATTGAGGTAAGCAGGCAAAATTCTAGATTAAAAACCCCTCAAAAAGTGCATGCAATAAGCTTAATTAAATCCAAGTTTTAACCTCAAAAATAAAATCTTTTGTTTCAAATAAGTATCGGCCGTTCCCAAGCCACAATAATTAAAATGTTATCAGCTTGTTTATAATTAGGTTCATTAACAAGGCTCGCAAGTAAGTGGGTTAGTCATTCATTTAGCTTGTATTTCCAGGATGGGACTCAGTAATAGTACGCCTCAACGTAGCCGAAAAACTTCAAGTTCCAGTTTCCGAAGACAATCGTCGATTCTTTCTGAGTTATCCAAGAAAGTGGACGAAAAAGAATGTGTATTTATTGCAATGCAAGCTGAAATCGATAAGGCCATTATTGAACACAATAAATCTGTTATGATGTCGTTGGCTTCAGAAATTGCAGCTCACATTATGGATTTGAATCAGCTGAGGCAAGTGGACTTACCTGCTTCAGAGCGTAACAGAAGCCAAAGGGTTTTGTATAATTTTGAATTATCTTTGGCCAAATTGAAATCAATATTAAATTCTGATACTGGACTCAGGAAAAATGCCCAATTTTTTGCTGCTGAGCCTGATATTGTTAGCAATTTGATAAGATTTGATGATAGCAGATGCTCGACATTAACACCTTTACCTGAATATGAAGCTCCAGTTGATAATTTAGTATCAGAATTAACAGTTTACAATGAGCCTGTTTTAAGTATTGAAGACATAGTTAATTCCGTTGAAAGAGAATTAGATGTACTTAAAGACCAATTGGAAAGACCTACTGAAGATATCAATGAATACTATCAAATGGATAAAGGAGTTTTCTTTTTGCAGGTGCGTCTTAAGAATACTGAAATATCTAGTGAGTTAGCATTGAATGACAAAAAAAATTCATTGCTTGAAGAGCTAACAGAATTTAGAGCTATTTTGAATCAAAAATCTAACGAGCTAGAAGAGCAAAGACAATTAACACAGGAAGTGAATACTTTAGAGCTTTTAGTTGATAGTGCTGCTACTGAAGCAGAACTTAAAGGCATCAAAGCAAAAGCTTTAATGTTTCAAGAAACTATTGCAAAAAGCTCTTGGGATAAGAATAAAAAAATTCAACTATTACAAAAATTGAAAGCTATTTTGAATTACCCAACTAGCTCAACATCAAACGAGCACTTATATGGAAACCTAGACTCTTTACAAAAAGATTTGGAAGAATTGAGGCATCAAGAAGAATTGGACAGTATACAATCTATCGATAAGGTTTTAGAACAAGAAAATGAAGATGTGTATGGTAACCTTGAAATTATAAGACAAACACAAAGAGGTACAGTATACGCAAATGCTGACATAGTTAGGCAATCGTTTGAAGAATCGAAACCTCAAGAAGTCATTCACAAACGTCCTCTACCACTACCAAGAAACTACGACGATAAAATAATTAACGACTTACCAAAACATTGGCAAAGATTGAATGAAATATATGATAGCGAAATTATCACTGAGGCTAATGAGGCCGAAGTTGCAGAAATCCGAAAACAAGCCGAAGTTGCTAGGAATTTGTTTGAGAGGAAAATCAGGAGAATAATTGAAAAAAGTGAGGAAAGTGTTGAGCTCTAACAATATTTTAATCGTATATTGTAATCTATAGATTTTATAAGTAATTTGTGATATAAATAAATATTTGTTTGTATGAATTATTTACCAAAAAACCCTGCCGATGATAACACAATCTTATCAAAAACTAAACACGATAATATTTTTATTTATCATAATATTCACCCACAGTCATTTGTAGGCATTAGATATAATGGATTTTTACAAAAAAATAGTAAAAACCAAAGACGTTAATAGTGTTTTAAGTGAAAAAGAATATAAATGTGTCAGCTTGCAAGCGATATCGACAGAGGCAATTAAAGAGAACAATAAGAAAACCCTCAAGGATTTAGTGGAAGAAATCAATGGGCATTTGACGGATTTGCAGGCAATTTACAACGACATTAAAGAGCCTAGGAACAAAGAAAAATGCGACAAACTAATAAAGCAATACCAAGAATGTCTCGTGAAAATTGTCAACAACAAATTTTCAGATGTTGTTATAACAATAACAAGGCAATTGAACAATTGGGAAGCTTTAACAAATGAAGCTATAAGAGAAAACAATTTGGAAGAACTCAATGAGCTGGTGGACAGGATGGAGAGAAATTTCGAAGTGATGAAGGAGATACCTGAAGTCAAACGGGCAAGGAGCATGGAGAATGGAGACGAGAAAATTTTGGAGATTATTAATAAATATAAAGCGCAGCTGAATAAGGCAATGGGTCATATTATTGCTCAGAAAAGGATTATAAGTGGGCCTGTACTTTTACAGGAGAAATTAGTTGAAGGTAAGTGTTTTGAATAATTAAGTGAATAGGTATAAGTAGTTGGCGATTTCTGAAGTTAAAAAGGTAAGTATAATGATGAATCATCGCTTGCAAAGGTTGTTTTTTTTTTAAATCTTATTAATGCTGATGAATCATTATAGTACTTGCTTTTTCATAGTTGATAGATGGTGCTTACCAATGCCATATTAATACAGTGAATGCCATGATTTTGTGTTCCTATTAGGTATTTAATTATTCGCTTAACTGCATTCCAATGGTCTGAGTTTGGACAATTTAGGAATCTACTTGCCACTTTTATCGCACGGGAAATATCTGGCCTTGTAACAGTGGCTAGAAACATCAGAGAGCCCACTGCTTGCCTGCATGGTACTTCACCATCAAATATTGTGGTTGGAGCATAAATCTCATATTATAATCTATGTCCTCCTTGTGTGCATATCCTTTAGCACATAGTCTTGCCTTGTTTCTTGAGATTGTGTCATCTTGATTTCTTTTAACTCGAAAAACCCACCTCGACTCTAATATGTATTTCTTATTTTCTGGAGTTTTTACCATTATCCATGTGTTGTTCTTAAACAAAGCATTATACTCTTCATTGATCGCCTCTATCCATTTGTCATTTTCTTTGCTTTTCATGGCATGATCATAGGTGTCATGAAATCTGGCAGCATACAAACATTTCTCTATGGTCTAAGATCTGGCATTTCACCGTTCTCTCCAACATGCTCATAATTTTCCTCTTGCTTGATTTCTTCCACTTCTTGTCTCGCTTCTTATTCAACCTGATTTCCAACTTCACTTCCACTTAAATCAGTGACGTCATCATTATTGAGCTCTATTTTCACTGTGTTTGGCTTCAAACCACTTTGCCTTTTTTCACTAAAGACCACATTTCTCTGGTTATGAGATTAAAAAGTCTATAGCTCGTAGAATAACATATTATCCAATGAACATAAGTTTTTGGCTTTTTGTGTCCAGTTTTCTACGCTTTTCATCTGGCACATGCGCGTATGTATCACAGCCAAACATTTTCAAATGATCAAGTGTTGGTTTTTGTCCACACCACATTTCGTATGGAGGTTTACCTGGGAAGTCTCATTTTCGGAAATCTCGCATGATCTCGTCTCGTTTTCGAGACGATACTCGGACAAGACGAGACGAGATTTTTATTGGTCTCATCTCGAGTTTCGTGTGTCGTGCGAGAGTCTCGCAGCTAAATATTTCTACGTGCAGACAAAGTTCACAGAATATAAGTATACAGGGTGATTTATGTAGCCCGTGCATTAGCTTGCAAATGAAATAATTAATCCACCTGCAAACTGGAAAACTTCTAATGCACGGGCTACGTAAATCACGGTGTATACCTACAGCCGAACTGGAAACCGTTATCCGCCTACCCCCAATCAACTATATACTAAACGCAACTGGAACGGCAACGAAGCACAAAATTATGAAACCCTTTTGGTTTTGTAAACCCATCCCTGTCTGATTCACGCAGTATACGCATGACATAAGACAAGGACTACAATTTGTTTTTCTTGAAAAAAAAAGCAACTTTATCAACGGCGTGTGAATAAGTCGCTGTTCCAGTTGCGTTTAGTACCTATATGATTCATTTCCATCCCTTTCTCTTAGAACGCTTTTGGGTTTGGGAATCACGACCCATCGTATAACTTTCCGAAAACAAATGAAAATAACCTCAATTTTCCAAGCCCCCCATTATTTTGGAGCATGAAACACCGGAAGGTGGCAGTAGGTGCATAAGGGGACAGGCGATAACATTATAGCCAGTGGGTATAGTATTTTAAACCCCATCCTTATTTAACAATCATGAGTCAGATGAAACAAAAAATTACCAACAAATCACTAAAACGACTGGAACCTACTTCCAAATAGGTATTAGAAATACTATAAGTATCCCGTACTGGAACAAGATTATGCGTGACGAGATTTCGATACATTTGCTAGACTGTCGTACACGAGGAAAGACTCGAGACTGCGAGACAAGACTCGTGACAAGCCTTCTTATTTCATCGACGAGACGACACAAGACTTTATGAAATTTTCGTCTCATGGGTCCCACGGGTATCACTAACTGCCTCAGCCGACAAGTATTTTGCAGCACCAGCACCTGACTGGTGTAACATTGACCATGAAATTTCAACAATTGTCCGATTGTCTCTTTCCGCGCGACCATTTTGTTGAGGGAGGTACCACGCAGTTACCGCATGTTCTATACCTTTTTTTCTTAAGTAACATTTGAAGTCATTGTTGTTGAGGTACTCGGTACCACTGTCAGTATGCAAAACTTTTACCAAATGTCCAAATTTTGTTTTAATTTCTCCTTTAAAACTCTTAAAGCACTCATAAACGTCCTATTTGTGCTTGATAAAGCATGCTACACCATAACCACTTTCTTCATCTTTAAAAGTTACAAAGTATCTCATTCCTTGTACCCAAGGAGTTATAATAGGCTCGCGCACATCACAGTCACCGACCTCAGCTAGTTTCACATGTTTTTGATTCTTTTTAAAGGGCAGTTCATGCTGCTCACCCATTAAGCAAGACTCGCAGAAAAAGTTCCCAACATCACTGAACTTCACCTGGAACCAAATCCTTCTTGATTATTTCCTTGAGATATTTCACATTAACATAACCACATGGACGCTGTGGTTATTTCAAATTGACAGAAACTGTTAACTTTGCAGTGTAGATCATGGTTCTGAATAGTATTGTTATACGTATTGCTCGAGTCTTTCACAGCTGTTGCTACAAGGTTCGAACCTTCAAAAACCTTCGCCTTTTTTTCAAATTTAACAACTTTCATTTTCCAATCTATCAAAAAACAAATTCTCATGAAGCTGTGGTATGTATAATAGGTACATTTTTAATTGTTGAACCATACCACTTACCATGAATCAGCTTTTGTATTTTTATGGCACCTTTTCCTTCTACCGACAGGTGTTGGTCATTTTTAAGTGCCACTCTTGACTTAAAGTTACCATCTAACGTCTGAAAGAAGTCTAGCCTATAATATGTCATATGAGCAGAGGCACCACTGTTCATGATCCATGATTCATTCTCAAAAATAACACTGTTTGCTCCAACTTCAACATTGAACGCTGTCTCGTTTTTGTCATTTTTGGAATCTTCTCGTTTTCTGGGGTTTTCATCTTGCTTCTTTCTTTTTTCTTTGTAGTATTTTGAGATATGGCCTCTTTTTCTACAATTATAACATAGTGGACTTAGCCTATATGTCATATAAGCAGAGGCACCACTGTCCACGATCGAAGTTTCATTCTCAAAAATAACACTGTTTGCTTCAACTTCAACATTGAACGCTGTCTCATTTTTGTCATTTTTGGGATTTTCTCGCTTTCTGGGGTTTTCATCTTGCTTTTTTTCCTTTTCTTTGCAGTATCTTGAGATATGGCCTCTCTTTCTTCAATTTTAACATCCTCGGTTTCTCATTTTCTTGCTTTTTCCTATTAGAGGACATTGCTGCAAACGCTCGGTTTCCTCGTAATTCTGGAAGTTAGCCTCTTCATCCAGAAGTCGAGTCTTTAAATTATCAATAATGACAATCATGCTTGCCTTAATAGGCAAGGTAATCAATATTTTCGAATGTAATACCACAAGAGGTTTCGGGATTACCGGATAATACTTTTACCTGTCACGAAACGCGTTACGCTCCGAAGGAGGAGTGGTGTTGCTGGTAATGCGTTGAGTGTTAGGTAAAAGTATTAGGTAATCCTGAAGCATCGAGTGGTATTCAAAAGGTTATACAACGAACTAAACTTAAATACTTTAAAATTTGAAAAACTCTCTATAATAGAATTTGCTATAAATGCCACCAAGCGCGATAATCCCAAAAGGCTTATCACTTATTAAGCCTCTCGTGTCATATGGGAATAATGTACAGTGAGTTGTATATTCACCATAATTGCTATATTACTTATGTCGTCACCTGCATTAATTATTTGTTTCGCAAGATTCTGTATCTTCGAGACCTGCTGTGCTATAGTATCATTTGTAGCCATCTTATATTGGTGAAAATGCTCGTGATGTATCATCTTATTTGACTCTGACTTCAGTTCAAAGATTGACTCTAACGTAGACAAAGACATAACATCTTTTGCATTTTCACAAGTTTCTATCAATGTTATTTGATCAATGTTCATGGCTGCGGTTAGTGTTAGTACAAACATAGCTTGAGCATCTTTTTTACACCATATTGTAAGCTCATCTGTTCAGGAGTTGTTAGGCCTAGGAAGAGTCACATCTATTACCCCATTGCCTTCAAGGCACATTTCATCTGAAATTTCCATTGCCTAAAGTTGGTTGCATCACTACATATTTCTTAATATAACAACTTATCAATCTAATATACATGGCGACTGGAACGACGTAAAAACAGGCATTTTTGTAATAGTTTGTGTAGAAATACTTGGGTTGTACTCCTTTAGATTTGTCTAAAATGTTTTTGTTACAATCGCCAAGAGCATCGGGCTCATTTATGCTAGACCTTTGAATTTTATTAAATTCAGTCACAACCTGGAGTTCCTCATACCCTATCTCAATTTCATTGAAAGAACACGGTTCTATATTTGAAAAATCGTTATTTTTGATAGGGCTTTCTCTAATTTTGTTATTACTTACAATAATTATCCTTCAGATCAACAACATGCACCAATGTATTTTTACCATTTGACTTTACTAAATAGGTGTAATGAGAAATTTGCACATTTTTTTTTAATTCTCTTATTTAGGTAATTGTAAAAAGTTACTTGCCATATAAATTTTGAATTTTGAACCAATAATTTTTCTTTAAAAAAATATAGAAATTCAAAATAACTCTCTTTGCGCCAAAACGCAGTCGTAAATCAGTGACGTTTCAAGACGATATCTGTCAAAACAAGTCTCTGTGCTCCCTGTTTTACCCATTGTGTTTTATGTCCGTCTCACGTTAACATAACCACACTTTTGTTTGCTTATCGTTC